GTGTACTAGCAATGTATGAGAGTTCCAGTTTCTCACATCCCTGTCAATATTTGGTATTTTCAGGTTTTAAAAAATCGTTAATATTATTTTGAGACGGGATGTCGTCCTGTCACCCAGACTAGAATGCAGTGGCACAATCTTGGCTCACGGCAATCTCTGCCTCCTGGGTTCAAGTGATTCTCCTGTCTCAGCCCCCTGAGTAGCTGGGATTACAGGCGCGTGCCACCACGCCTGGCTAATTTTTGTATTTTTAGTAGAGACGGGGTTTAACATGTTGGCCAGGCTGGTCTTGAACTCCTGACCTCAAGCGACCCACCCACCTCCGCCTCCCAAAGTGCTGGGATTACAGGCATGGGCCACTGCGTCCGGCCTTAAAAAATTATTGAATTAAATATGTGCAAGTGAAATGGTGCCTCACTGTGGTTTAAAATTTCATCTTAGGAGAGATGATTTGAGGCTGAGTTATAAAGGATGAGAAGTAAACCAGGTGAAAAAGATGGATTGTTCAGTATTTGGGGCAAAGAGAACAAAATATGCAAAGGCCTCCAAGGTGAGATGAAGCAGAGCCATCACAGAGAACGGAAAGGGAGTGTGGTGTGGGGTGAAACTGCTGGGGGAAGTGGTGGGAAGCACTGAGCCGTTCACCTTCAAGGAATCATGTGGATCTGGTCAATGTTCCTACCAGCAGTGACCACGGTGAACTAAAAAGCAAATAAAAAGGAATGTCCTAGGCTGTGTGAAACACCAGGAATTTCATATCCTGGGAAGCAGTCAGGGAGGCTCATAAAGGCCAACATTGAATTTCTCGTCATCTCAGCAGAAAGGTACTCAGAATAGATTAAATCTGATTTATGGAAAGAAAAAAAAAACGAGGCATTTCTGGCATGTGACCATTGTGGCTGCAAATTCATGCTCAGCACATATGAAAGAGTAGGATTGCTGAGTAGTGTTGAATATCCTTTTGAAGTTTGAGATCGTGAATTTAAAATGAAGTCATTCAGATGGTTTGTGTGATTTCCTCTGGCAACACTCAGCTGCTCAGGTGCAGGCATGGTACCTTATCTCAGACTCTAGTGCTCAGTCAGGTTGTGGTTTTTCTAGGAAAGTATGTCGAAAGTAGAGGTGGGCAAGGGAATGATTATAATGATGAATCATGGGCTTTAAATTGGACCAAGAAAGAAATGAAGAATACATAAGGACGAATTGGTGGGATTAGCAGATGAGTGGTCTTGATGAGGTTGAAGAATTATAGCAGACTGGGTACTAGCCCAAGGAACTGGAAGGCTAGGTGGTGATGAATGGGCAGTGGAGTATTATATTTTCATATTTCAAAGATGAAGCCCTTTTTGGGTGATTAAAGTGTTTGACGGTGTGACCTCAGAAGTGTTGGTTTAGTTGAGGAGAAAGTTGTTGGACTTGAGAAGGTAAAAGGATTGAGAGAACAAGGTACTGAATACTCATGAACTCACCCATGGAGTTCAGGAATGGTGCCAGGCATTGGAAACGGAAAAGATGACATTGACTGGGAGGTCAGAAGATGACAAAAATCAAGCTGAGTGGGGTGCTAGATCTGAACAGCAAGAGCTTTAAAGGAGCAGAGATCTTTGCAGGAGGGAGAAAACCATTAGGAAGTTCAAGGTCAACTCTAGGAACAGTACAATCCTTTTGACATCCATTTGACGGCTGAGTGAACCACGTCAAACCAATATCCACGAGAAGTCTTTTAGTTGGGACTGCTGTATTACAGGCCTTCCCACCAGGGGGCGCCATCAGCAGCGGAGAGCCTACCTCCAAGCGGTCCCTTGAGGCCAAGAAAGTGTCTCAGCTTGAGCTCTGAGGACCCCTAGGGCTCCTCTAAGGTATTGCAAAGAGCTCAGCCATCCTCTGGCACAGCCACATACACTTGCAGAGAGATGTTTTTTTGTACGGTGTATGTAAATCTTGAACAACAACGAAATCTAAATTCTTAAATTATTTTAAAGAAGCTACTGAATTAGGCCAGGCATGGTGGCTTATGCCTGTAATCCCAGCACTTTGGGAGGCCGAGGTGAGCAGATCACCTGAGGTCAGGAGTTTGCAACCAGCCTAGCCAACATGGCGAAACTCCATCTCTAGTCAAAATACAAAAATTAGCCAGGCATTGGGGCACTCGCCTGTAATCCCAGCTACTCAGGAGACTGAGACAGGAGAATCGCTTGAACCCTGGAGGCGGAGGTTGCAGTGAGCCGAGATTGCACCACTGCACTCCAGCCTGGGCAACACAGTGAGACTCCATCTCAAAAAAAAGAAAAAAAAAGTTACAGAATTATTGGAAGGCCTTAGTTATTATGTATTTTCTCAACAAAAGGTGACAAAGTGCAGCTTCTATCATCTGGAATTTGGTGACATTTCTCCTTGGGTAAAAGGAGATACACGCTTTCATCATCATGATCGGTAATCACTACCAAGACAAAAGAGCATGCAACAGAGTCTAAACTGGAAATGAAATGCTTCTGCTTGAAAGCAATGCATGTCACTTTACACATTTCACTTACCAAAGCACGTCACATGCTGCTCTCGACTACAAGGGGGCAAGAAAATTGACTTTTTTTTTTTTTTTTGAGATGGAGTCTTGCTTTGCTGCCAGGCTGGAGTGCAGTGGTACGATCTCAGGTCACTGCATCCACCTCCTGGGTTCAAGCAATCCTCCTGCCTCAGACTACAGGTGTGGGCCACCACGCCCCATTAATTTTTGTATATTTAGTAGAAACAGCATTTCACCGTGTTGGCCAGGATGGTCTTCATCTATTGACCTCGTGATCCGCCTGCCTCGGCCTCCCAAAGTGCTGGGATTACACAGGAGTGTGACACGGTGCGCAGCCACAGAAAATGCACTTCTTCTTTTTCTTTTTTTTAAAATAAAGACGGGGTTTCACCATGTTGGTCAGGCTGGTCTTGAACTCCCAACCTCAGGTGATTCACCCACCTTGGCCTCCAAAGTGCTTGGATGACAGGCGTGAGCCACCACGCCTGGCCAGAAAATGCACTTCTACCATGAGCTTATTAACAAGCAAACCAGACCGTTTGGCATTAATGATTAATATAAACATTCTCAGATCCAGAGCTGTTCATGTCCTCCCTTGGCTTCAGCTTCCCTATCTACAAAAAGAACATAATCATTTTGTAAGAATCTCTTATTGTAAGGATCAAAGAGCCATATTTATTACAGCTATTATGAGGCAGAATAGCCCTGTAGCCCTCCTTACAGGGCTGTCTACAGAATGGCCTTTGTCCAGACGGAGGTAGATGCCAATCTTTTTGTCACTCACAGCCTGAGGTTTTGAAGGATATAGTTTTCATTTCAATCAACAACATGCCGTAGTGGTCCTGAGCCTTGCTAGAAGGTTTGGTCTGGAACCACCATGTTCAGTTCCTGTTGAAAGCTCCAGACCACTTTAGCTTGAGAGAGATCGTGAGGGTCTCCTTCTTCCAGGTCCTCCAAACCCTCTCTTTAAATCAAGTCAGGCCACCAGGACTGCTTGCTTGGCTCCTCCGAGTTTCCGCAGACACTCCCAGGACGTCTGCTGTGAGTCAGGGATGAACTAAGCCATAGAAACTCCTTTGCCAATCGCAAGCGCTGAGGGTAGTACAAAAAATAACCCCAAAAAGAGCATTTCCCAAACTTCTTTGCAAACAGTAGTAACCACATTGCCAGTCACCCTACAGAGTGCTTTGCTAGGTCCTTTTCTATGGGCCATTTGACCCTTTCCTACTCCTCTGCTAGACTAGGCAATGCACTTCGTGAGAGCGCGGACTTTTTTTTTTTTTTTTAAGATGGGGTTTCACCATTTTCGTCAGGCTGGTCTCGAACACCTGACCTCAAGTGATCCGCCCACCTTGGCCTCCCAAAATGCTGGGATTATAAGCGTCAGCCACCATGCCCAGCCGACATTTTTTGTTTTTTTTTTTTTAAGAGACAGAGTCTCAGTCTATCGCCCAGGCTGGAGTGCAGTGGCGTAATCTCGGCCCACTGCAACCTCTGCCTCCAGGGTTCTAGCAATTCTCCTGCTTCAGCCTCCCGAGTAGCTGGCACTACAGGTGCCACGCCCGGCTAGTTTTGTATTTTAGTAGAGACGGGGTTGCCCAGGCTGGTCTCGAACTCGCGAGCTCAGGCAATCCACCCACCTCGGCCTCCCAAAAGGATAGGATTACAGCTGTGAGCCACCACACCCGGCCACGGGGAATGTCTTTTCATGTGAGTTTCACTATGTGCCTGGCACACAGCACGTTCTCAATAAATGTTTCCCGCATTAAGACGCTTCTCAGGAGTCATCATGTAAGTTCATACATGATGCCTTCCTTGTAGAATTGTGTCTATGAACATGCAATCAGGCTAACTGAACTTCAGGTCCTCAAAGTCTATGAAGCTAAAATAAGGCCCAGACGGGGGGTGGGAGGGGTAGTAGGCAGAGGCAGAAAAGGACATTTCAGGCAGAGGGAGCAGATGTCCAGGCAGGAAAGCACAAGGTAACGGGGCACTGGGGGCGCACCACTTTTCCTGGAAGGGAAAAACGGCAGATGAGAGAGGGAGGTTGGAGCCAGTTACTAGTAGAGATGTCTATGGTCAAAGTCCAGAAGGAAGAAACAGCAGGACAGGGGACAATGAGAGGAAGGAGGAAAGGAGGGCACGATGTATGAAGCTTTGCAGCCAAGAGCGCTAATGAAAGGCAGGATGGGTGGAGGAAATGAACTGTGTTCCCAAAGCTTCCTCTTATTGATGGGTGCACCCGGGCCACAGAAGAGTAAACTGAACCAGGCTTCTTGGTGCCTCACCTCCCAGAGAGGAGGCGGAGTCCCGCTTTGCCCCGTCACGTGGCCAGAGGCGCCCTCGGCACGTGACCTTCCTCGCGCTAGGCCAATCAGCCTCTGCAGGGGCGGGGCCGCCGAGTCCGCGGGGCGGGGGCCTCCGTCGGGCCCGCCTCTTCTCGCGAGCCTTGCGGCAGTCGCTCTTCAGCCGCCCACGACCCGGAGCGAAGGTCTCGCGAGGTTTGGGCGCTGCGGCGGCAGGAGGAGGACGGGGAAGGACGGAGCCGAGCCACGGCTGCCTCCCTCGCCCACTCCCTCGCGCACTCGCCCGCCCCCTCCCTCCCTCCCCTCCCTTCCCCAGCCCCGGCTCTGGCCCTGGCCCATTCGCTGTTGGGTCTTCCGCTAGGGAGGATGTCGGGCTCGTTGCTGCCCAGCGCCCTGGCCCTCTCGCTGTTGCTGGTCTCTGGCTCCCTCCTCCCAGGGCCAGGCGCCGCTCAGAACGGTAAGCGGGGCGCCGGGGGCGGGCCGGGCGGGGGCTGAGGGGTGCCCGGGCCAGAGGGGACCCGGCTCTGACCCGAGGAGACGCTGGAACTCGGGGAACTGGGCCGAGTGGGCGTCTGAGGGGCTGCGGGTCCGAGAGGAGGAGGTGCCGGCCGCGGGTTTGAGGAGGCGCGGGTGTGAGGACCGGAGGCGCCCGTCGGAGCGGCGGGGGCGTCCGGGGTGAGCCCGAGGTGTTGCCGACTCGGAGGCTCCGAGTTCTGGGGCTCGGCGCGCCGGGTCGGCGAGGGGACACGGAGGAAGCCGACATGAGGAGCTGGAGTAGCGGGGGCGGATGAGGAGGGGGCGCAGCTCTTAGGGAGGGTGGCACAAGACGGGCGTTTGTGTTCCGGGCGGCAGGGATGGTGGAGTCGGTCAGGTCCCCCGGGAGCTGGGGTCGTCCAGGATTCTACTGAGGCCCCGTAGGACTGGTGACATCCTTAAAAATAAAGGAGAAATTGGGGGGAAGGGAGTCCTGAGGAGCGCTGATGGTGAGCTGAGTACTAGAGCCCAAAGGAGGGGGTAAAGAATCAGGGAACCTTGAATCTGGGGATAGAGGGAAGGTGGGTGGGAAGATAAGGGAGTGGGTTGACTGCAGTAGGGGACCTGGAGAGAGAAGCAGTAGTGTCTCTAAATGAGCTGGGGGAAGAGGGCTGGGTTTGCTAAAGAGGGTGGAGTGCTGGGCATTCTAGGGTAGTGGTTGGGAGAGCAAAAAGGAGTTTCTAAATAAGGAGAGGAAAATGAGCAGAGGATAGAGGGAAAGGGTTGGAACCGAGGCAGGGGAATATTTATTAGAGAAGTAAGGAGGCCTGGGTATAGAGATGGGGGTGGGGGGAGACAAAAAATCAGGGAAGGGAGTAAAATGCAGGAAGTCGGGGGTGTAATGTTGGTTTGCAGCGTGGAGGATAAATTAGGGAAGGGAGGAGTTGGGATATGGCAAATGCTGTATGATATTGGTTGGGCCTTTGGGAAGACAGGGACATAGAGCTGCAACTAACTGCAGTGGTGGGATTGAGGGCAGTGACTGGGGACAGGGAAATGGGGAAGTGGATTTTTGAGATGAAAAAGTTTCAAGAGAGAAGAGACGTCACTTCTGAGAAACATGAAGTGGCCCCTGGGAGGTGGTACAGTAGAAACGAGAGAATTACTGGGTTTTGAATTGAAGCTCCTTTGAGAAGATGAAGAAATGGTGGGGAGTCATGGGCATAGGGACCTAAACAGAACAGATTCTGATTGAAGGCACGTGTTACAATTCAGCTGCTGAATTGGTCTTTAAGAAGAGAGACTAGGAATGTGAACCTGTTTCCACTCTTGTGGAAACAGCCACTAAGAGGTTAAAGAATATTTTTTCTATGAAGGAATTTATGGGAAGTCAGTACTGAAGAGTGAACTATAAATTATGTTTTTTTTGCGAATCTTTCAGTGTTTGTTGTTATACTGGAATAATTTAAGATTACTCTTGTTAGGCTGCAATTTAATTTTAAAAAGTCAGTGATAGAGCCAGTGGAGTTTTTTGAGAAACTGGGTTTAAGATGCTGAATCTTAGAGGGCAAATATATGAATAAAGGATTGACAATATCATCAGTTAAATATGTGTTTGTAGTACCAAATTTTATGTATGCTTCATGGCCTTGGATATCACTGCAAGAGCCAGGAAGGAAACATTTTTTCTGTCTCTAGCATTGAATATGCTAAGTGTATTGGGTATTTTTCTTGTTTTCCTTAAGCATGAGTCCACAGTGGAACGGAGGGTAGAGCTAGTCTTATTTGTCTTATCAGTTTTTCAACTGTGTCAACAACATGACTTAAAGAAGCCTAATGCTAATTTTAGCTATTCAGTTTATGGTAATAGCATAGTTTCATTTTGCACAATAGGTGAGAGATTCTTGATCTTAACATGTTTAATCTCTGCTGGCATAAGCTTTTCTCCAATGATTTATAATACGGTAAAATTGTAGTTTCTTAGCAACTAAAGCAAGGTTTTTGGATAGGCCTATAAAGACTCATCTGTCTGCTCTCAGTGATACGTGTTCTAAATACAGCATAGAACGGCCTTTCCCTAGAAATGAGCTTGAATTCAGTCACATGACATGACCGATGAAATGAAGCTGAGCTGCTGGTTGACCCAAATGAATGTAAATTTAATTCAAGGAAGAAATGGCTATTTTTGAGTTTGGGTTCATATAGTTAAGGATGCCATTTTATAGCTTTCTATAGTATGTCTTATAATATTCAAGCTTTCAGTTGGTAATAAATAGCCCTGCAATTATTTGGCTTCACGTCATGGAGTTTGTGTTTTCTTACAGTGCTTTCAGAAAGGGATACCATGTTTGTGCATGATGTTGAAATGTTAAGATTTTCTATTTAAATGATTGGAGAAAAAAGAAACAAGTGTCTCTGAATTGGGAACGTAGTAGTTTAGGTTGAATTGAATATATGTGTTTTCAAAAGGCGTTTGTTTCATTATTCCTAAAATGAAGAATTTGGCCCGTATGACTCTGAAGGTCTCTTAACAGCTTCTGACCCATTGCTGTGGGCATTTCGGGCTTTCATTCAGATAGATTTTGTTGCTCATCCAAATATTTAAACTTGTAAGACCAGTTCCAAGTAAAATCCTTATTTGTTGACTTCTGTATGTATCATCAAAATGGTAATTTAAGGAAGGAACTTGTTCTAAAAAGTAACTTTATAAGACATTCAAAAGCGTTACACTACAATTGAGTGAGTGTAAACAAAGCAGTATAATGTAATCATCAAGAGTACAGGCTTTGGACAGTGACACACCTGGGTTTGAGTTCCAGCTCTTAATAGCTGAGTGACCTTGAGTAATGCAAACTTGTTTCATCATCTGTAAAATGGGGATTACAATGATGTCCATTCCTTAGGGATAATGTGAGGATTAAATGAGTTAATGGACGCTTTTAGATTTCAGCCTGGCGTATTGCGAGTCTCAGTACATGTTAGCTACTACTATTATCCTTTGAAGAGTAGCATTATTCATTTTTTTCCCTCATATATTGAAAACTTGATTGTTAATGCTGCTGTCATGGTAAATAGGCCATTTGAAGGCCCCACATAGAGATTTGTGCTTTTGCTTATGTAACTTTCTCAGAGAAGTGACCACTGTGTCTGCCATTGCAAATTCTGCTCTGGTGAGGAAGTTCATATTTTCGTTTGAGTTTCTTTTTTCATTTGTTCATATTTTCATTAGAGATACTTTATGGCTTTTTTCTTTCTTTTTTTTTTTTTTTTCAGTGAACCAAATCTTTCAAATGGGCCAGGTATCATTTTCTCATAGAATATTATTGTTGTGAATAAGAGAAATAGAATGTGGTACCTGGCACACAGTGGGAGTGTTATAGATGTTAGCCGAATTAATGAATGTAGAGTGGTGTATAAAAACGTAATGTATTCATATGGAAAATATTGCACCACATAATTAACACTGTTCAATGGAGTAAAATAAGGCATCTAATGAATCTTATTTTTAACGATCTAAATTTTAGAAACCATTTTGCTTGGGTGATACTAGATAGTTGTAAACATTGTGCTTTGTAATAATGCCAGTATTTGCATTAGATGATTCATGGATCTTTTTCTTTTCTGTCAAGGGCTGTTTGCTTCAGTGGTTTGGCAATTTTCTCTCCCTGAGAACATTTTTAGAGGTGTATTTGCTAATTGATTGTGTGTCTCCTCTTTGAGTGAACTGAAGTGAGCAACAGAAGACAAATCTTGTCTATGGCAGCTGTGGCACAAATGACATTCCAAATGTCAAGCAATAAATTTTGAGATAATCCAAATAAGATTTGACCAGAAGAAATAGTTTGCCTTGAAATAAAGCCCTTCCTAAGGAGATCACAGGCTTTCAGTCTCTCCGGCTACTGGCTAAAATGTCACTGCTGATATAATGGAGCACCCAGGCATGAGAAATTGGTTGGGTCTGGGAGGGAAGGCCATGTTACACATTAGGACCCATTCCCTGGGTTTGTTTTACAAGGTTACAGGATCCAAATTAGAAAGAGATACAGATGGGTTTTTGTGTTGCCAGACGCACTAGAGCTTAACCTGTTACATACCAAGATTTAAAACAACGGAAGGAAATAAAAACCCTTAAGTGAGATTGAAATTCATTACAGGTCTGACTTCACATGAGTTAATACAGATTCTTATGAGAAATTAGACTATTTTGAGGGAATCCTTTTGTTTTTTCTCATTAATACAGATTTGATGTGAAGCATTTTCTCGTGGAATATATCTTTAGAGATTAATAAAAATATTATTTTAACTTTAAAGTTTAAATAAAAATAATTACCTAAATTTAAGAATGATTTAATTGGGTCTTGAAAGATGACCAAATATAATTAGAAAAGTGCTCTGTCAGTTTGGACATTGTTTTTCATTTAATTAGTCTTAGGTACTTTTTAAAAGTAAGATGTTTTGTATGTAAACTCTGAAACTTTGCTGGATCTGTGTAAAAGTTTTTTTTTTTTTTATGATTTGGGAAGGAGATAAAGTGCTAATATCTATTAAAATGAAGTATGTAGAAAAACAGTGAGTGACCATGTTGCATACAAGAAATGTTCAACAAAAGTTTAAATAAAATTATGCAAATAAGTTTTGGAAAAAGTGAATTTTATGAAAATTGTTCTGATGTATTCTATTCAATTTATTGTTTGCAGTGAGAGCACAATCTGGACAGGATCAGAAGTAGAGAATGAAGTTGTAAGAGAAAGGGAAAGACAGAAGAAAGGCTGCAGTAGTACGAGGAGAAAAGCAGGATGCAAGAATGAGGAATGAATCTTCGTTTGAGGAGCATCTGGAAAAATAGAATCTGTCAGAAAGAGTAAATAGACCAGGGACCTCTAAAGTAAATTCACACATCAAAGTTTAAATAATGGTGGAGAATCACCTCCTGTGAACAATTGGCTTAACTTTCAGTGTGCCTCTTTAAACAAAACATTATCA